TTTGCTTCTTCGAATCTGCTTTGTGGCGACAGTTATCAAGGCCTTTTTGCCCACCTTGAGGTAAGTTGATCAGGATAGCGCTGGACGAAGCGACTAGCCCAGTGTACTCCAACCTCAGTCTTGGCGATCTGTGAGGCAAAATTGCGTATCATTGGCTGAGTAGGTGGTAAGCCTCTATCTGTTAGTCGATTAATATAGGCGATTAGGGCCTGCTCCTGCTGTGGGTGGAGGAGCTGCCGTTTTTGGCCACCTATCGCGCGTGAGGCGTGTAGGCCTTGGTGTCTTTGGGTAAGCGTAGATCGAACAACACTATATTTTTTTGCAATATCTGTATACGAAAAAGGCTCATCAGGTCCTAGGGCATTAATAGCTGCAAGCGCAGCCTCAATATTAGCCATGGTGGTGGGGATACGACGCGTTGAGGTTGAGGTGGTTGTAAGGCGCGCGCGCACTTTGTGGTCGCGCGCACTTTGTGGTGGGGCTAGTTAGGTCTGGCCAAGCGAGGAGCCGCCCTGCAGCGGCGGCATGCGGTCAGGCCTCACCACCACGCATGGTACCTGCATGACGCTGCATGTACAAACCATGTATTTCATGCACGACAGAAGCGGCCGAGGGTGTGCCTGATCGTCCCAGAAAAGAAAACGCTAACAGAGTGCCCACAGCAGAAGAAGACGTCTACTACAACTGTCATGCTGAATCCAAGGTTCGACCAGCTCATTCGCTATTCAACTCTCTTTCATCCGCTCATCTTGGTCTGGGTGCTCGACCATGGCGAAATTATCACTTTGTAGCGGTTTTTATTATGTTTTACTTCTTGGGGGTGCTCTGTAAGTCATGCCATGTTCATTCAAGCCATCATCTTGGCTGTCTATCCTGGACAACTTGTTGTACAGGCCATGCCTCACATTGATCGATCTCCAATTCCACCAGACGAGATTTACGGTCTTCAAGTGACTCAAGCTTGGTTTCCTGACAGCACACACAAGGGCTTCATGTTCCAGGGTGGAGGTAATTCGACGAGCGAATGAGGGCGACGATCTCGACAAGTGGCTAGCAGAAGCCCAAAGCGTGAATGACACTGTTCTTGGGCGTTGTCCCGTACTATGCAGTGCCACGAAAGATGTTGCTTCGAGAGCTGAATGGTTCTTGTACTCGGATGCGGAGCGGCTAGCGGCCTGTAATGAGACGATGCTCATTGACATGGTTGTTCAGAACGCCGAAGCTGATCTACATGGCAAGATCATAACTCGCGCATGTAATGCCGATTATGCATCAGTGGCTACATCTGCTTTCGAATCCGACGCCGAAAAAGCCTCGCTCTGCACAACAGCCAACCGCATGTTAGAACAAGTGTCCATATCCATGCATCAACCAGCATCAGGCAATGATGCCTTTTCCACAAACCACCTGGTCTCGGCTGGAAGTCAAGTCATGAACCACCTTGCACTACAGACGCCAGCATGCAATCACAGCGTCATGGAGTTCGCATACTCTCGGTCCTCAGTCATCGGTGTGTATGCTGGAGCCGAGGTCAATCAACACAGCTTGACAACTGAGGTGCTGAAAAAGTTCTTGGCTCATGCTCAGGAAGAGGGCATCTCCAAAACGACTGTCGTTCAGCTGTGTGGAGCTGAAGGGCGTGGCGCCGGCTATGGCGTGGGCATCGTGGCGACAAGTGCAAAAAATTTATCGTTCGTACAGGAAGCTATCAAGACTTGGTTGAGCGGTGATTGCGTCCCTCAAGACAATTCAGGCAAAGATTGGATGCAGGTCACCATACGAATTCCTGCCTCGGTTAACCAGATCCCGAGTAACAGCACCAACTCGACTGTTCAATCTCGAAATACTTCACCCGCTCACCTGGACAGAAGAGCTCGCCTCGACATCAGAGCAGACTGCAAGACTACCACCGTGAACGGCGGTGATGGTTGCTGGGCTGTTGCGAATCGATGTGGCATTACCCAGACGGACTTGGAGAAGTACAACCGCGCCAACCTTTGCAACACACTCATCAAAGACGAGGTAGTCTGTTGCAGCAGTGGAATCCTACCAAGCACACTTCCTTCTGGCAATTCGGACGGCACTTGCAAGACAAGGGACGTTGTTGAAAAAGACGATTGTACAACTCTCGCTGCCAAATGTGGCATCAGTGCAAACGATTTCATAAAAGCTAATACTAAGACAAATCTTTGCTCAAATCTCATGCCGGGGCAGAAGGTGTGCTGCACTGCTGGCAAGTATCCTGACCTGAAACCTAAGCCCGATGCAAATGGAAATTGCGCAACCTACTACACGAAGAAGGACGATAGCTGCTCGAAGGTTGCCGTCGCTCGCGATCTTACGGTTGACGATCTTATGGAGTTCAACAAGAACACTTGGGGTTGGAATGGCTGCAAACCCGAGGTGTTCTATGAGAATTTCTTGATGTGTGTCAGCAAGGGCACACTACCCATGCCTGCCACTGTTCCGGTACATACTTATGATTTTTGCCATTTACGCTTGCAGAGCTACGTCTTTTACTAACCCACAACGCCATAGAACGCCGTCTGTGGACCCACAAAGAATGGAACTGTACAGCCATCCGCATCCACTAACATCAGCATGCTCAACCCTTGTCCATTGAATGTTTGCTGCAATATCTGGGGCCAGTGTGGTATGACCGATGACTTTTGCGTTGTGAGCAAGTCTGAAACTGGTGCCCCCGGAACCTCTGCCCCTGGCAAGAATGGATGTATGTACCTCGCCCTATCTGTACTTTGCAACACGTACTGACAGGCATCAGGTATCAGCAATTGCGGTAGAGACATCATTAAAGGCACTGCACCAGCGAAAAAGATCAAAATCGCATACTACGAGAGCTGGAATCACAATCGTCCATGCTTGAACATGCCAGTCACATCCATTGCCGAGGAGTACACGCACGTTCATTTTGCTTTCGCAAACGTTACGCGAGGGACATACAAGCCAGAAATCACCGATGAGAAGACTCTAGGGGAGTTCGAAAGCTTCAAAACGCTCACAAACGTCAAAAAATCATCTCTTTTGGTGGTTGGGCCTTCAGTACTGAACCTGGAACATTCCAGATCTTACGTGAGGCCGTTCTGCCAGCCAACCGCGACACGTTCAAGAACAACATCATCAGCTTCTTTAACGAGCATGGGCTCGATGGGGTCGATCTTGACTGGGAATATCCCGGAGTAAGTATCTGAGCAATCGCCATTATGAACGTGCTGACATGATGACTTCTAGGCTCCTGACATTCCTGATATTCCGACTAATGATCCTGTCAATGGTGTCAACTATCACCGACTACTTTCAAGACTCAAGATATCCCTCGGATCTTCCAAATCGGTTTCATTTGCAGCACCCGCATCATACTGGTACCTAAAGTCCTTCCCTATTAAAGACATGGCCAAGGCCCTCGACTACATCGTATACATGGCCTAAGATCTGCACGGCCAATGGGACTACGGTAACAAATGGACTTCCCCCTGGATGCGATACCGGAAATTGCTTAAGATCCCATGTCAATGAGACTGAGACGAAGGACGCGCTGTCTATGATTACCAAGGCTGGAGCTGACTCTGGCAAAGTGGTAAGCAGTATTGTGGCTAATGAAATTGAGAAAATCAGGTTGACATAGGCATAGGTTGTTGGAGTCTCCAGCTATGGCCGGTCTTTCAAGATGGCACAAGCTGGGTGTGACAGCGAGAGCTGTTTGTTCACTGGATCGCCTCGAGTTTCCGATGCCTACAAAGGCCGATGCACAAACACTAGCGGTTACATTTCCAACGCCGAGATCCAAGAGATTATCAATACTGGTAGCCTCAACAAGAAATACACAAACGAAGGCTCAAACATCATGGTCTTCAATCACACAGAGTGGGTCGCCTGGATGGACGACGATATGAAAGGGTCTCGTTCGAAGTTCTATGATTCGTACAACTTCGCTGGAACCACAGACTGGGCGGTGGATCTTCAAGATTGGCATGGGTAAGCTCTCTACCAACTATCACGTTAAAAATCGCTAATTTATCATAGGGCGGATGAGCCAGAGGACTACGAAATGCCTATCGACGAAAACTACTGGGCTGACTGCGAGGGTCAGTACAACTCACTGGACCAGTTGAAAGACCGTAAAGGAACAATTCCCAGCCATTGTATGGAGCAGTACATCACAGACGTGCAGATATCCGTCCTTGATGGTGCACTGAAAAAGTACAAGGATCTCGTCGACAAGCGTTACGACGACAAGTTCAGGATCTATGCCAGCTATGTGAAGGACCAGATTCCCGATCAGATCAACAACTTCATGACAAGCGACAAAGTTGACAAGTACTTTAGTTGCTCGGATTACAAGACTCGGGGAACGTGCTGTAAGGACTGCCGATATGCTACCTGTATCGAGAACTGTATCAAGGGATCCAATTGCAAGGGCGGCAAAGGCGAGTATCCCATGGATAAGTGTCCCAGGATTGAGTTTCAGAAAGGCACGCTGGACGGCGACTATATCCCAAACGCAACTTTCACCTTGAAGGATAAGGATGGGTTTTACAACGATCTCTCCGAGACATGGGGTATCGACAAAGAGTGGATTACAATGGGCAAACGATTGATGCGCATCAACAACGGCTGCCAGTACGCCGGCGAGAACGTTCAGAACTGCATCCAGTGGAACAACAACTACTTCAAGAACTACCCTATGATGAACGGGGACAAGGTTAAGATATACAACCCCAAGGATATCATTGGCGATTCATACCCAAAGGCTCTAGATATGCTATACCGCTTCCAAGATATGTCGATCGCAGGTATCTGGGACGAGCAAATCACCGAATCCGACCTCGTCGACTCGATGTCGCTACCGGCCTTTTCTACCGAGGAAGCAATCTCAGCAATGGAGGAGACTGTGCAAAAGGCTGATGAAATTAAAAAAGCGGAGCGCGAAGAGTTTATTCTCAACTTCATCATGGGTCTCCTGTTCTTCATTCCTTTTGTTGGCGAAGCCGCAGCCGAGCTCACTGCCATCCGAACCATTGCCAGGCTTATCGGCACAGTAGGAGACGCTGCACTCACGGTGTATGGCGTAGTTCAGGACCCGGAAAACGCCTTCATGACTGTCTTTAGCGCTCTTGCTGGTGCGGGAGTTGGAAGGGGTGGCTTCAGGAGTGCGGCGAAATCGAGGCGAGGGATGATGAAGGCAGAATACGATAGTCTGGGGCCGGTGAAGGGCAAGCTCGATACTGTGGAGGACCTGAGAGGAGGTATGTGTCCAAACTAGTGGATGTGGTGTTTCGAGTCGAGACGATGACTTGCGGCGACCAAGATTCTGTGTTGCACACCGCTACATAGGATACTTTTCCTTATTAGTAGTTTTCTTCGGTTCAACCATGGCCTTTTCTCTAGCTCTGTAGGCCTCTAGAACGATTATCCTTTGTCTATTCGCCTCACATTGTGATCAAGACTCGGTCATAGAACATCGCAAAGCCAAAAAGACGAACAAGCAGTGCACACACTCCAGCACACATCACAGCAAAATAACAAGATTCATATGCTTCCAATCTCTTTACCGGTATTAATAGACTATAGTCCGATATTTCCAATATATACTTTAAGTAATAAATACTCCAAGCCCAGGAAGATAACTGTTCTTACTTTGCCTAAGAAACATCAACGTTTAATATGGCCCCGCCTGGATTAATGGCGGACTCCGTAAGCCATCTCCAACTTTGATACATTTAGGATACAACACCTTCCCCACTGCCCCAATCTTGTCTTTATCATCTATACCCCCTAGGAGCACCTTTTGGCAATGTAATGTATGACCCCAGTTCGCTAAGTGGCTATCAATGTACCCTAGCTCCGCGTATGCCCGGTGCATCTGACGCCACATATACGTACAATGCGTGTAATGATATTCTTGGGTAACATAGATCTTGTGTTGTCCAGAGAGTACAACCGACAGCGGGGTCTCATTTTGGCCGGCCTCGTCAAGAAAGAACCTCCAGGCTGTCACGGCGACATCCTTGTCGTCTTGTTTTTGACTTTGGCTTTGACGTATTGTGTTGTCAGAGTGTATGCTAGATGTGTTAAAATACTCATAGTGGGCTAGAAATGCGGAAGTAGTAGCATGATCGAAGCACTCATGCGTTTGCCAGGCCATAGATAAGATGTCAAAGTGACAGTTCCGGCGCCGTGCTTCTTCAGGTGTTCCTCCACAATCCTCCCAGCGCTTAGTCCCTGCTTTTCCGAATGTTGTTGAGAATTGTAGAAGTAAGTTTTTTGTAGCAGAAGTAGCGCGTAGGGCGTTTAAAAGGATAATAGCGATTCCAATACAGATAGCGATGACTAGGAGCATGCACAGAAGACCACACTTTCTAATTTGACGAGACTTGCGGATCTAGTCGATCTCATATTATCAGGATCTGCCTTACAGTCATACCAGATAGGAGCACAGATGCTACTCACCTCATGACTAGGACTTTTCATCCATCGTAGATTCATGACCTAGAAAACAATCTAGCCCAGACGCCGTAGCCTTGTTAACCTCTTGCGTGCAGCAATGAACTGATTTATAGGAAAATCGTCCCTAGTTTGTAAAGAGAAGCAGGAATATTTTATGGGATATTGTTAGGTATTCAGTATTCTTGGGTTCTACGTCTTTGCACTTAGTATTATGGATAGTACGGGAAACTACTTGGTGAATTATAATAAGAGGAGAATACCGTAGTATGACCGTCCATTGTCTCACATCTGCAACTGCGGAGATAGAAGAAATTTGCCGTAGACAGCTCAAAGCTAGCGGACGGCAGTATAGTGTTGGTACGCTAACTGCATATGGGGTACTTAAGCAAGGATGTTGTACGAGTAGCAGCTTGAATTAGGACCGCAACGGGTTGAAGTAGGACCGCAACGGGTCGAAGTAAGACCGCAACGGGTTATGATAGGACTAGTAGTTATCCTAAACCCACACAGAAGCGATCACAGTTCAGAACTAACACTATTCTATACTTAGACTTAAAGGGTCAGCTTCTACATAGTATATAATGTGTACACGATTAGAAAGCTCTTTTCTATATAAGCAGACTAGACACAACGCTCATACCTGCGCAGTTACGATAGATAGTACAAGTAATAGTAGCGATTTAAATAATTAATTTAGTATATTGCAATAGTTTATTAACTAACGTGTTTCACCAGTAAGCGGGCCACCCCAGTATGTGGGCCACCTCCCCAAACTTTTACATCTTTGTAATAGTATTGCGCAACACTACTACAATACTTTTTATTAAGTAGAATAAGATATTATTCTTTAGACGCATTGCTATCCTCTATACCCTCTAATTCTACTTGACAAGTGCGAGAGTTGTGTCCAATTTGGCTGCAACGCCCGCAGCGCCGTTCACTACGCACCCTCTTCGCAGACGTTGCACCATTATTATAGCTACCACCCTCTGCCTTAGCGATCTGATTAGCTATCTGGCTAACTGTCTAGGACCCCTCTGCCTGTACGTAGCGCCTCTTACGAGTTTTTCGCTTCGTTACTTTAGTAATCGTAGCTTTAAGGCGATTAAGTTTCTCCTATATTAACACTATATTATAAGCTATCTACTAAGCTCCCTTACTTAACTGCTGTATCTACTCCTTAAGAGAACTTGTAGGAGACCCTTGCTGGATTTACATACGGTTTCGAATAAGCGTAGCCTGCGCCTCCATTTCGCGCGCGTTGCGCGGCGTTTTCGGCTCCCAAGCAGTAGTCTCTTGCGCTGGTGGAGTTGGCGTACGCAGCATGACGTTAAGCTGTGATAAAATAACGTTATAATCGTGCGGTGAAAGTCTAGCACCTTAGAACCCTCCGCGGATATTTTCTGGTGTAATAGCCTTATAATAGGCCTTTTTAAACGCTAGTAGGAAGGTTTCTTTGCTAATATAATAGATGCGATTGCGTGCTAAGACCAAGATAGCATCACCATACGCGCGCTTTAACGGCGAGAAGCAGCCCACATCAAGAGGCTGTAAGAGGTGCGACGAGTGGGGAGGCATACAGAGGAGGATTATCTTCATCTCTTCGCAGAGATCTCGGAAATCCACCGAGCAGTGGCTCTCATAGCCGTCAATAATAAGCAGCCTATGCGTCCCCACAGGCCGCGCATGGGAATCAAAGTGACGAAGCTAGTCAAGCGCTAGATTGTTGTTCGTCTAGCTGGTAGGACTAACTTAGATCACCTAGTCGCGTGGCAGATCCTCCGTGAACTAGGTAGAGATTAGAACCTTGCTAGCGAAGATAAGAAACGCTAGGATACGCGTGCCTGTTGCGCCAACGCCTTATATCAGCGTAACCCACTCACGATTGCCTGGCTAGATCTTCTTTGTTCTCCCTAGTTTGTCTGAGCCTGTGATAACTAACTGTGATAAAATCTTGCCTATAATAAAGCCAGTCTTATCAAAGTTATAGATATCTTCGTCCACGATACTATACTTTGCCTTCATATTCTAAACTAGCTCAAACTAGCCCTTAATAAGCGCTAGGTCTTCGCAGAGAGCTCGCTGGTGATCGTATGGACGGCTCTAGCGCGTACGCAGCTCAGGATTGCGCTAGACAAACCTATCAACCCAGTTCTTGCCCACCTCCTTCCCGCCACGCTCTCGGAGCAGTCTGTTGGCCATATCTCGCACGTCGTCTTTCCCACAGGGTAGTCCTCGCTCAGCCTCGACTATTACACGCATAGTAATAGCCTCCTCTTCTAGTTTTGTTAGGCGCCTTGCTGGTGGCTCCCAATCGCTTCGAGGGCGCTGTCCAGCTCGTCGACGCTAGATTGTTGTTCGTGGGACGCTATAGGCGGCAGCAGCGCGTCGTTCACTCTAAATTTGTTTAGAATTAAGATTAGTAATAGCAAGAAATAGATCTGCTTTAGTATAAGTTTTTAACGCGTTGCGTTGTTGAGACATTACGCGTTGTTGATGCAAAGGTGGGATATCATAGGGAAGTGGCCCACATACTGGGGTGGCCCGCTTACTGGTGAAACACGTTATAATAAAAGACTATAATAACGTGTCAACGTCAACGCGCTAGTGGGGAGTGACCGACTCGCTTAGGTGACCGACTCGCTTATGAACCACGTTAATGATACGCTAATAGAGGCAACGCCTGCACCGCCGCTCTCCTCGCACCCTCTTCAACGCACTCTCACTATTACTATAACTACTACCCGCCTGTTTAGCTAATACTTCTTATACTTCGCCTATAGTAAGAGTCTCTTCTATCTATATATATTGCCGCTTATAGCTCTTACGCTTATTTGCTATATCTAGAGCCTCTTAAAGAGCAGCTACTTCCTCTCTTATAAGCGTTATTTTATGTGCTATTTGCTAAGCCCCTTTACTTAGCTATACAACCTTCTTATTAAGAGAATTTATAGAAGACCTAAGGCGGTTTCTTACTCTTTGTTGAATAAGAGTACTTTAAGCCTTAACCTCGCGCGCGTTGCGTGGTGTCTGCGCCTGCTAGGCGGCTGTCTGTTGTAGTGATTGTACAGGTGTCTGCACTACCACATTAAGCTTAGATAGCACAGCCTGTGGGTTGTATGGGACTAGACTAGCGCCTCTAAAGCTAGCTTGGATATTCTCCTTCGTGATAGACTGCTTAAAAGCAGTCTTAAAGGCTAGTAGGAAGGTCTCTTTGCTAATATAGTAGGTGCGGTTACGTGCTAAGCCTGAAATAGCGTTGCTATACTTGCGCTTTAACGGCGAGAAGCAGGCGACGTTAAGAGGCTGCAATAGGTGAGATAAGTGCGCAGGCATGCAGAGAAGCACAATATTCTTCTTCTTGCAAAGATCTTAGAAATCGACAGAGTAGTAGCTCTTATAGCCATTAAAAATAAGCAGTTAATACCCACCTATAGTAGAGCTCTTTATATAGGTATTAAAGAGCTCTAACTAGGCAAGACTAAGCTAATTATTTGTCTAGCTATTAGGACTAACTTTAAGAACTTAGTTAGTAGGCAAATCCTTAAACTAAACGTTAATAAGCACCTTACCCGCAAAGACAACAAAGGGTAATATTTAGCGACCTAACGCGCCCACGCCTTAGATTATAGTAACCTACTTATAGTTGCCTAGCTGCATCTGCTTTTTTTCTATATCCTTCTAATACTATAATTAATAACTATAATAAAATCTTACCTATTATAAAGCTAGTTTTATTAAAGTTGTAAATATTATTGTCTATAATACCCTACTTCTGCCTTATTGCCTAGACTAAGTTAAACTAGCGCTAGATAGCTACTAGGTCCTTGCAGGCGGCTCGCTAGTAATTATAGGGACGGCTCTAGCGCGTATAGAGCTTAGCAGTCTGCCTAATAAAGTTATTAACCTAATTCTTGCTAATAGGGTTGCTACTACGCTTCTTTAATAGTTTATTAGCTATTGCTTAAACCTTAGCCTTTATAGGGGCAAATCCACGCGCAGACTCTTTAAAAATACGTCTAATAAAAGCCTCCTCTTCTAGCTTATTTAGGCGCTTTAAATTTAGTTTATAGTTGTGTTAGGGGCGCTTTCTAGCCTATTAATTAAATATTATACTTTACGGCACGTTATAGATAGAGGCAGCGCGTCTTTAGCTTTAAATACGTTATAATTAGATATTAAAAAGAGCAAGTTAAATATCTAATTTAGGATAAGTTGATTAATAGTTGTGTTGTTAAGACATAACGCGTTGTAGTTGTAAGGGGCTGCGCTCCGGGGAGCAATTGCGAGGTATACAAGAGGTTGTATTCGATAGAGAGCTATAGAGTCTACTTGCGTGGTGTTTATTTACTTGTCGGAGAAAGGTTGCACCGAGTGTCTGAGCGCGTCGTCTGGGCGCCGCTCAGGCCTCGCACAGATGCCGGGTTGCAGAGTAAGACCTGGCGTCTGCTGCTTGACCGAGATTCCATCGAGGAGCTATCCAAAGGGCGTTCAGCCCGTTACAGTAGTATCAACGTCAACGCGCTGGTGGGGAGTGACTGACTCGCTTGGGTGACTGACTCGCTTATGAACCACGTTATATTAACTTATTTCATGCATATCTAGCCGCGGCCTTTTATGTATTAATTAAAAAAAAATTTCTTACTAATTCTCTCAGATTATATACACTGATACTAAGTATAAGAAAGCTACTCTAAGTGTAATTAAAAGTCATAGCTACTTGGTTTCTTTCTAGCTAAAATAGAATATAAGTAATATAGTTAGTAAGATTATATATGTATATAAAGTAATCTAAATTATCTCATAGACTTATACTATAGTTATAACAATATAATCATAATCATTATTGCTGAGTCTTCCTAACATAGTAAGGCTTCTAAGCTAATATCATAAGTAGTTTAGAAATGGATTATAAAGAGATAGTATTTTATCTACTAAAAAACAGCCTCTATACATAAGTCTTTTACCACTACTACTCTTTTACTATTTCTATTGCTATTGCTACAGAACTTCAAGCTTAATTATTAAAAATATAAATA